TATTTCAAGTCTGGTGCAAAAACGCATGATCGCACCGGCTCGCCTGGTGCGTTCCGGCCTGGGTTTTATTATGAGAAAAAGTAAAAAATTTCATTAGCGATGCAACTTTTCGATTATAAATTGAGAGTGGCAACGTAATTGACCACTCATGGCGGTAACATCGTTACAGGAAAAAACATTTTCAAAATGAAAAGCTAAACTGGCAACATGACGCGTATGAGATGCAACAAGTAGAACAAAGCAAAAGGAAAGGAGGCTGCCGAATGTTACTTGCACTTATTGTCAGCGCTGAGAATATTGTTGCGAACGGAACTCCTTCTCGAAAAATTGTTCTGGGGAAGAATTTGAACCAAACCCTCCTCGTATCCGGACGCGCAGTGTTACCCCTGCATTATTGGTCTTGGCAGTACATCTATCGAGTTCAGCCTGGCAGTACATCTATCAAAATACCCTTTCAATGGGATTCCATCTTTTTCTTTCTGGCGGCTTCTTGGCCGGTTTTTCGCGGATTTCGGCGACAAATATTACAACATCAGAATCGATATGTATGCGTACTTTGCGTCTCGAAAATGTTGTTGAGGTTATCTGAGATTCGAAAAGAATAAAAACATTAGCCAGCTTTTGATACGTTGGAGACACAAAAGTGCATAGCAAGACCTGTTCACTCCTTGCTTGTCCAGTTGTAAAGAATCTTAAAAGAAGGGTGCACCTCGAGGTTTTTTGGTGACTGGATCAATGCTGAGCATCGCATCTCGTACAGTCGATAATTTCACCCAGTGTGGCGGGTATTTAAATCGCGCGACATCCAGAATGAGCACTTGATCACTTTCCTCATGATAAGCGCCCAAAGGCGAAAAATGACCTGGAAAAGCAAACAAGCAATGAGGCATGCCGAGTACTGTCGCGTCTTCTCTGATGTTAGTTGCTGCCATGATGTTAACTCAGACTTTGTTTTCAAAACACAGTAAGTCAAAAACCTTGATGAATCAGCTCTGGAGTTACAGCCAATACCAGAATTTGGTTTTCAAATGAAACTTAACACAAAATGAATTTCAGAATCGAATTTCAACTCGATCCTTCTAAGATTTTGAGATTTTGACTGGAATTTTGAGTTTTTAAAACTTTGAGACTTTGAAGTTTCGTCTCGAGATTCTAAGATTTTTACCGTAATTTTGGGTTCAAAAGTCAAAAATGATTATAAAAATAGCTGGGATATTAGTCTACTAGCGCAGACGCATGAAAATTCCAAAGCTGACTTCAATTTACTCCTTCAACACACAAAAAAATTAAACTCCTATATTTTCATGTCTTTTCATTCTAAAGACAAACGGAAGGGCGCATATAGGAAGAGTTCGGTTTTGCTTTCTTGCAACAAGCTGCTGCAGTTCCATGACACGCAGACGCGGCAAAACTTACAGGGTTTCCCTTCTAGCTCCTAAAAACCTACTCATTCGGTGATGATGTACAGCCTAGTTGTAACTAAAGATTTGGGAAAGTGCAACAAATATCATGCTGCGTTAGCTTAGAGTCAGGACCTAAAGCTACCTTTACAGCTTGCGTCAACTCAAAGAGTGAAGTGAGTTTTGATACTCGTTTTTGGATTGCAAGTAGACGGTAGCAGAGCTTCCAAATTTTAGCTCCCCAGCTTTGCTAGTTCAGGAGTGTTATGCAAATAGACATACGGACATGGCTTCGCCCCTTTTGTCGCGTCTCTGAATTCAAATGCAGACGAAAAGCACAAAAATGATCTTGCATTTGGTCCCAACTTATGAGCGCAGGAAAGTTAAAATTGGTTTGTAGCTATGCAAAGCCGTAGATAAAATTTTCAAAATTCTAGACTAATCCAGAATTAGTCTCGAAATTAAATTAGCACTGCAAGCTTAGACACGGGTTATCTGTGTGTGATCTTTTTATAAACGCTCACTGCTTGGGAAAAAAATTAAAAAAATCGCAAAAAATTCCCTGAAGCTGAACAATTGCGCATTACAGTTTTGCAGTCTTGTTTTGCTAAGCAGCCGCTATAGCATCATACAGAACAGCGCTTCCGCCTTTATAACAGAAAACTGATTGTTTTGCATGGAGTTTTTCAGCAAGCAAAACGCATACCTGTACCAGTTTGACTGAGTATTTTTCGATTGTAGCTCACCACAAGGATTGAATCCTCTGCTGCCATACATTGCTTCACTGTTTCTCGAAATGTTGCCAAAAACTCTGAAAGCACAAATTTACGAACATGACATGTAACAGTGAATATAGGTGGAAAATACTAACAAACTTGTAACCCAAACTGCAACGCAACAAGTTTGCAAGTCGCTAACAGCAGGAGTGGCTTCTGCGTTGTAGTTTAACAGTATAATGGCTGTGTTTTGGCTTCTTCCCGCATGCAAGGGGAAAAGGCGTCGGCTGGGATAAGGGTATTGCATTATGGGGCGGAATTGATCTCCAGCACGCATGATTATCAGTTTTGCATGAAGCTCGATCGTTTTTCCAATGAATGCTCGTTATTGAAAAAAAAGTAAATTTGAAGGAAGTCCGAAGAGGAATATGAAATCTGCATAATGCATTCGCTTTTGAGTTTGATATAAAATTGATTGTTTGTTATGACCGTGTACTCGGAAATTCACCTCCACGCTGAATTAAGACCACACATGAACAAAGAATGTCCTTACAGTCTCATCGCATAGTTTTAACTGCAAACTTTGACATGACCCGTACACGCTGAATTTAAAATCTTGCGCCCACAAATGCACAACGAATATCCTTACAAAGTTTCAACTTCCCATTTTGTCTGAATCACGAAATCGGTTCTTGCCAAAAAGTTTTCATATTTTTTCGGCGATCTGTATGCGAGAACTAGGCGCGTATGAGCGATGATTTAAAACGGTATGGTGACATAGGGGAAGAAATACGCTCCCAAAATTTCACCCTCCCACCCTTACTGATTGCTGAGTTGAAAGTGAGTGATAAAATTCACTCGCTTTTAAACACACACACTCTGACGACCTCTCGGTAACATGCATTTTTGCTCACACGCTATAGCAAAAAAGCATAAAAATCGCAAATCAGCAGAAAGACAAATACCTGGTGTGGATTCCGCGTACTTCAGATCGATGATCAGCTTATTGCATTCGGCTAAGCACGTAAATTGGGGCAGTGTTATTCCTCTTGTTTTGATTTCATCTAGCGATAAGCAACAGTCAAGCATGCTTTCATGGTAAAATCGCCATGGCGACTTCCAGACCCGACCTGGATCCACCTCAAGCGCATTCAGCACCATTACTAAACAATAACATTATTTCTCCTTGTTTTGCGTTTTCACACTCCAGAAACAGTTATAACTTAAATTTAGTTTTTAGTGTTTTCCCAAATTTTTAGTGTTTTCCCAAAACGTAAGTTTTCCCAAATTTTCCGATGTTGCAGACAAAGCTGTTAAATCTTTGTTTAATCCGGAATTTTTTTTGGCTTTGGACAATATGGTTTTGTTGAGGGAAGAAGAGGTAGCTAGGCTTACCTAGGGTAGAAAGACCGCAGTATGCCGGTTCATCCTGTGTAAGAAATTGCGACGCTAATCGGAAATAAATGTTTGCATGCCCTGCAACGAATTACTGAAATAATTCCTCTGCGAATTGTTAATGAAAGAAGTTAAAAATATGAACCCCTCAGGCTATGCTTCACATAACTAATTTTTTTTAACGAAACGTATTCTAAGCCTTTTGCAACTATGGATATTTTGACGATCTAGGGTTCGACGCCGCCAGTGGGATAATCAAATCCTCTACCATTCGTTCATTCGTTTCCGTAGTAAACTGATACTGTAGCATTATCCATGGAGTAGTTTCATTTTGCTTCTCCCTAGAAGCGAGTAAGAGGGAACTAACTGGCAGACTATTTATTTGCACAAAAAAAAAATAAGAAAAAACAGTATTTCAAAGAAAAAAGCAAACTGTGAAGAAAGTGAAAGAATTAAAACTGAAAAAATGGAAAACAAAAGTACAAAGAGCATAAACGAAGTACAGCACAAAGAAACTGAAAAATTAAAAAGAGTGTTAACAGCTAGGAAAAACCAGAGCGCTTAATGATACTCTGATGAGAAAATAGGTTCCAAAAATCGGCTATGAATTGTAAGGGCACCAAAAAGAAGGAGAATCTGAAAAATTATTTACGGTCGGAAAAAAATGGGTCGGGGAAAACTGAATTCCTGAATTACACAAGAATGTAATTCGGCGTCCTGTGCCTAGCAATTTGTGCTCTTCTGGTAGCTTTGGTCGGTACTGCCGTGACTAATCTCTTGGTGATCTTGGCATTTACCGAAAGAATTACTATCTCAGTAATTCTTTCGGTAAATGCTTTTACAGGTAATTTACAAATCTGTATAAATCAGTTCATTCCAAGTTGCTACACCAGGACTCATTCATGATGTACTAAATTAATTTTTATAAGAAAGGACAAGCAATGCCCTGGCGCAAGAATGCTAATGCACTTAGTGTACTGTTGTTTGCTGATGTGTAACGAATCAATTTTCAACCTTTCAGTAAACTCTCCGTGAAAAGTTTTTTGCCCTCAGCCGAAATGAAATTGATACAGCACGGCGGTAGATTCCGACGATAAAATTCAGCTGCCGGTGTGTGTTGTTCGTTCGACATTAATAACCGAGAGAAAGTGCAATGAACCACGGATGGAGTAGAAGGAAGAGGCTACACTGGAGGGTGTGCATGGCCGTTAAATGCTGTCATTGGTTCAGAATACTGAAAACCAAATAATCTGTGATATTGCTGCGGCAGGAACTGCGATCAAAAAGAACTACTTACAGACTGATGAAATATTTGTTTTATGTTTCGGCGCTTCTCTATCAACTCTTGAGAAAAGGTTGTCTCGCCTGATAGCACGTACCAATGGCTC